GAGCCGTCATCATTGCGGAGTCTTTCATTTCGTGTCCCAGTCCATGAGACGGACGACTGTGTGATTTGTGGGAAATGTTGTCATTTGAGGTGCCATAATGACTCGCAGAATTTTCCGCCTTGAGTTTGTCTCGAGGCTGTTGACAGGAGCGCAAGTTGACCTTGTCGGCAGTGCCGTCGAGAAGGAGGCATAGTTGAAGAGCGACAAAACTGGAGTAGAACGGAGCCTCGGATCGAGGCTGGCTGGCTGGTTTGGGTAGACGCTGAACAAGACCAGCTTTGAGTCGAGTGGCATTCTCGGAAGCCGACTTGAAACGAACAATCTTAAAATGCGTCCATTGCATCGAATGCGACTGCTTTATGCAAGCACTGAACTGGTCCCACTTTGTGTCAGTTTGAAGATGGAATATTTCTCATATTCAGTCAGTTATAATGCCCAATTCAGTCATCATCCCAATTAACCTATTCAGTATGCAGGTGAAGTGAAAGTTATGTGAAATTCAGTTACCCAGGCGGCATTGGCAGACGATTTTTCGCCTCTGCTCGGTTGTTGCTGGGCAGTCCCGACTCATCCTCCATTCCCACCCTCTTTTTGCTCAGATGGTCTGACGAAAGCTCGGCTGTCGCCGGACCTCTTCGACTCCAGCTTCTCTGGCCACCTCGACGGCCTGAAGCAGTGGGCTGCGTCGACGCCCAGCCGCGTTCGTCGACAGGCCCGACTGCCCTGTCCAGACAGACCCACCTCCCGGACTGGGATGACCGGTGTTGGCATGGCAACCGCGGGCAAACGAGGCCTTGAGCCATGGCGCTGTCGGTTCGAGGAGAATCTGGCGTTGTTGACCGACTTGACCGAGGCCAACGCCGAAGCCGACGAAGTGGCGGCGGCCGTGGCAGCCGTCACCGACGATGGCGAAGACGACGATGATGCCGTCTTCAGTTTGTCCACAATCCTCGAAGCCGCAGACCGGCCGGAAGCAGTGCGCTTCGGTACCGACGCCTCGAACTACGCCTGGCCACTGGGCAATGAGGTTACCACGGCAACGGCCATCACTTGCGTCAATGTCACTCTGGCCTCGGGCGTCCGAACCACCACGACGACTGCTACGAAGACCGGCATGACGACGGGCAAATTGGAGGTCCGAGCGTCTGCTGGGCTCGGCGGGATGGAAGAGAAGGGGGGACAGAAAAAGGAGGAGGAGGAGGAGGCGGATGAGGGTGAGGGGGCGCAGGAAGAAGAAGAAGAGGAGGATACCGGCTACGCTACCAACCTGCGGCAGAAGTCGCCGTCGGGTGAAGAAGAAGCCTCAGAGACGGCCGGCGCCTCGTCCGACGGGCCGCTCTCCGCACCGACGACGCCGCCACCGGCGCTCGACCTGAGCCGGCACAATTCGGTCTCTCGCGATTGGTTAGTCGGCTTCTCGGAGTCCGGCCCCGGCTTCTCGTCCCGCTTCAGCATCCACCATTTGTTGACCT